TGTGTACTCGTATTTTTTTTTACCAGGTGCCAAAATAAGGAAGTGTTAAATTGTAGTTGACATCTAATTTTGTCCTTGATGTGATATGTAAAAATAAGATGTGATAGATAGATTATTAAAAAAAAAGTATGATGTAATAGGTAGGATAAGAAAAATAGGGGTAAAATTGTTTTTTAATAGAAAGTGGAGGCGTTTCGGTGGAAGAGAAAAAATGAAAGAAGAAGTGTTTTGGAGAACAGATAAAGTATCATTTTGCCATGGTTCCCATGAATATTTGAGTTCTAGAAAAATGCTTAAAATTATCGATTCGGCTATTTGTAGCATTCAACCATCGCTCATTTCAAATCTGCAGCCACATCAACGCTAACTGCACTCGCCATCTTACTCACTTCTACTATAATGATTGTACCTTTATTTTTTTATTTAATATTTATTTCTTTCTACCCAAATTAAAGTCTATTTTTGATAAAATAATAAAAATTTATGCTTTTTTTTCTATTTTTCTATTACGGATTTTTTTTGCTTTATTAAACTTGTTCGGTATTTTATTTAAATTTATTATTCATATAGAATTTGTTTGATTTTTTATTTGATTTCTTTAAATTTTTATACCATTTTTACCGTACTAAAAAAAGAAAAAAACAATTCATAATAGAAGATACACTATTGCACAACTAAAAATAGGATTACCCCCAATTTTTTTAAACAAAAAAACATATAAATACGTTATTATAAGTATCACTATTTTCGGGTTCGATCATTCCTAACATGTTTTACTTTTTTAATAGCATAACAAAGAAACATAAGTTAGTTTAATTTAAAAAGAAAAAAAACATGATGAGGGAATTTAATATTAAATGTGTTTCTTTCCAAAAATATAATAATAAAACATACCTCATTCGATTAGAAGTGTTTGCACGAAAAATATAAGTGAAACATAACCTCAAAATTATATAAGCAATATTAGCGTCATTGGATAGATCTTGTAAAAATATTTCCAACGACATATTTTACTCCGTATTATATATCAAGTAATGACTTGTATGTAAAAAGTTATGGACAAAATACAGGTTATAGTTTAAAAATTAAATGGAAAATAAAACAAAAAAGGATTTATGGCTTACCTTTGTGGCCGACTGGCGCCGATAATAGATATCTCTCACGCCATAGAGGGGCGGGGTGGTGTTCCCTCAGTGTGGCTTGTCAAGATGGCAAAGCCTCCTCAGCTCAAGGAAGCCTCCTCGTGGTACATTGCAGCTAGACTAAGAGCCCATTCTTTAGTATTAGAAAAAAGAGAGTTGGATGTCGGAAGAAACTGGAAGAACTGGAAAAATCTAGAAGGAACTTGAAGGATTAGAAGAAACTGGAAAAATTAAAAAAAACTGAAAAAACTAGAAAAATTAGAAAATCTAAAAAAACTTTAGAATTTTTTTGTGTATTTTTATATTATTCTCATTCAAATTCTAGTTGTTATAAATTATTATTATTATTGTTGTTGTTGTTGTCATCATCAATGTGCCTTTATTTTTTATTTATTAATTTATGTGTCAATCTGAAATTCGACTTGTAATTGATAAAGAAAGAAATGAAATACGGAGTATATTCTTGGAACATATAAGGGCTCCATGCTTCGAGTGTCGTTCTCGTTATCAGGAATTGATATCAGAAAGTATTTTTTTGACGCATCTTTGTTATTTAAGCAATACCTCAATTTGAAAAATGTTATTTTTTATTATGTACTTTGTATGCCCCAATTTGTACACAATGTTGTCATAATTCTTTATATAGTCATTGAGAATGTACATCACTTCTCCAATTTTTCAATTAGACAAACAATAATTTTTGTTCATGTGGTTTAATTTAAAACATGGAAGTTTGTTTTAAGAAAGTCGTGTAGGAGTAATGTACCAATAGGCATATTTTCTTGGAAAATGTTAGGGTGTCACCACATGGGTGCTATCATGGGTGCACTCATGCTTCACACAGACAAACACAGACGATAATTGTCTGTGTCGCACAAACAATTATCATCTGTGTTTGTCTGTGTGAAGCATGAGTGTACCCATGGTAGCACCCTAGCATGGTCCTATTTTCTTTTGGTACAATACAAATGGGCATATGACTGTACGAGTGAGGGAAGAAGCACTAACTCACTATTGAGTAACTGTTAAGAGTATCCCACATCGGAAAAGTGTGAGAAAAATAATCGGTATATAAGCTCTTAAGTTGAACTAACTAATCGATTAGATTCAATTTTTTAATGTGGTTCAACCCAAGTGTCTTATTACCCAATCCAGTTGTCCATTCTCATCCCAAATTTTATCATGGTATCAGAGCAGGTTTTGGTCCACTTCATTTGTCAAGGTGTCTGTCTAGACGTTCATTCCTAGCGGCCCGTTAGTCTTTAGCCTAGTTGTGCGTATGGAGTATGTACTCAACGGCCTGTGGCCCGTTTAACACGATTGCTCGTCTAGAAGTCCATACCCAGCGACTCGTGGTCTTTTAATTTAGGTGTTGGCGCTAAAAAAAGTCAATGGAATGGGAGTTCATTTGCAAGTGGTCAACCGGTTAGATTCAAAATGGCCCGGTTGTCCACTTGAGGGGGAGTGTTAAGAGTATCCCACATTGGAAAAGTGTGAGGAAAATAATCGGTATATAAGCTCTTGAGTTGAACTAAGTAATCGATTGGATTCAATCTTTTAATGTGGTTTAACCCAAGTGTCTTATTACCCAATCTAGTTGTTCATTCTCATCCCAAATTTTATCAGTATCCTATCAAATATGACATTCAAATAATCAAAGATTTTAAGTTGTAGATTAATTATGCATTTTGGATTTACTTTGACTATTCTATATTCATCATGTGAGAATAAATATTTTTTATATAAAAAATGAACATTTTCTAGAAATATAATGTGCATTCCTTACCAGAAAAAATGATTTATAAGCTAAGAGTGATTGTGTGGCAAAAATTTATAAAATTGACTTAAAAAGATGAGAGTTAGGTTTATGTGAAAAATGTTCCCCATTATCATATCTCTCCCATTTCTTTTCTTTCTTTTGTTAATTTTAATTAAAAATATTTTGTTATAGTTGATTTTGTAGGTTAATTGTTGTATGAATCTGTTTAAAAAAGTTAGTGAGTTTTAACTTTTTTGTGACACTAATGTGGCAGTATAAAAATTACTTTTAAAGGTTTACCATTACAACCATCTTAAAATATAAACACAATAAAACTAAATAAAAATTTAAATACTACGAATTTAGAATAATAATAAGAATGGTCTAAAAAGCACATATTAATCCATTNTTTTTGTTGTTTATTTTTCTGGATCTTCAAAGGAACTGAGAGATTTGGGGAAGAAAAGGAAGCACGAAAAATGAGTCTCCGCCCGTGATATATATATATATATATATATATATATATAAAGTCACTATTTTTCATTTTCTTCAAATTTTTTCATCTCTTTCTTTTTTTAAAAAAAAATCAATTTCTTAACTCCTAATTTTTTCTAAATCTTTCTTATTTTTTTAATTCCTTTAATATTTTTCAATTTCTTTCAGTTGTTTTCAATATCCAACCATTTTTAATAGAGATATTTGCACTAAATAGCACTAAAACTTGAGTCATTTCTCTAAATAACACTTAAATTGTTTTTTCCCTGAATATCACTTAATAATGTCCATAATGTCCAGTGATGGTGAATATTCATTTGAATAATGACTAATTCATAATGACTAAAAGTGATACATTGGGAAGAAAAACACATGTGGTGCTATTTAGAGAAAATTATTATGTTTTAGTGTTATTTAAGTAAATTCCCCTTTTTAATATAACATCAAAGGCTTAGCATTGTAGAAAGTTAATTTAATTAAAAGAATGTGAATGTAATAAAAATATACTCATGTCACAAAATATTCGTAAAATTTGACTTTTTCAAATCACATTGTATAATTTTTAATTATAAAATTATAGTTTTATTTGCTTTGCAAATTGAAAGAATAAAATAAATTTCTCAAAACTTTATACTCCGTACAAGATAAATTTGATGGATTTATTTTTATACTAATTTGAAATACATTTTTATTTTTATTTTTATTTTTATGCAAATAAGTATTTAGGGCTTGTTCTTTAGAGCTTGAACTCTTAATTTTCAGTTTCTTTCAGTTCCTTCTAGTTCTTTCCAGTTTTTTCCAGTTCCTTCCAGTTTCTTCCAGTTCCTTCCAGGTTCTTCCAGTTTCTTCTAGTTTCTTCCAGTTTTTTTTTCAGTTTTTTTCCAGAGTTTTCTAATTTCTTCCAATTATATTTATTTTCTTCAAATTCTTTCTACTTTCAGACAAATCACTCTAAAAAAATATATTATTATGGATAAATAGTTATATAGAATATTTTTTAATCTAAATTTATATAAGGTAAATTACATTTAAGGGTCTGGAAGAATGATATTATGAAAACCAAGAAAAAACTACATTTTGAAAAAGAAAAAATGACCCAAGAAGTGTAATATTTATGCTAATTTTACATTCTAATTATTTTTTTAAACTAGTTTTTTGTATATGAAAAATATAACTCGTAATATTTTTTTATTTTGAATACAATCATTAAGATAACGGGGTAACACTACCACAACCATCACCACAACCACCACCACCACCACCACCACCAACAACAACAACAACAACAAAAAAAATAATAATAATAATAATAATAATAATAATAATTTATAACAACAAGAATCAGAATGAGAATAATATATAACCGCACATATTTTTTTAAAAAACTTTTTAAAGATTTTTTAACTTTTTATATTTTTTTAAGTTCTTCCAATTTCTTCTAGTTTTTCCAGTTATTTCCAGTTTCTTTCAGTTTCTTTCAACATCCCGCTCTTTCTTTCCAGCTGATAGACCCTTAGTAATAATTGCAAGAGGGGAAGAAAAGTGAGAATGAATTGATGATAGCAAAGGAGATTTACCCCCAATTCAAATCCGGGAGAAGCATAGTTCTGTGAAACCCTAAAATCACAGTCAAATCATCTGCAACCCGAATTGGGGCAAATTTCCTGAGAGGGAAGACAATCATGGGAGATTCCGATGCTAAATCTGAAGCCTCGCTGAAAGATAAAGGCAATGAGTTCTTCAAAGCCGGGAACTATCTGAAAGCCGCGGCTCTATACACTCAGGCCATCAAGCAAGACCCATCAAACCACACTCTCTACAGGTACTTCGACATTACTGATACAGATAATGCATTTAAGCAACTACATAAGTACCTGCTGCTCGTGGGTGGGAGAGAAGCAGATGAGAAATGAGGGTGTTTATTGAAAAAAGGATGCGAAATGTTCATCGGGTGTTCTTTATTGGAAGTTCCAGGAAAGCAGGAGTAATTATTAAAAGGATGAGCTTTCTTTTTATATATAAATTTTATTCTTGATGGAATCTACTTCTTATTAGCCATTTCTTTGTGTTTTTTGTCTATGTGTTGCTGTCGTTTTGTTTCACCATATAACCGTATAATGCGGGGTACCAAATGCCCGTCCAAGAATGGAAAACGGATAAAAATGAGATGCTTAGGTGTATACATGCCAGTTCTATTGTTCAATGTAAGGAAAATGGTTGTATTTACCCCCATTGGTTATGATTAAACTAAGTAGACTCATTTTTGCAGTTAGAAATAAGTCCACTTTTCCTAAATAGATTACTCCCTCTGTCCTTTATTAATATTCCACTTTACTATGTACATGGTCAAACTATATTCACTCTTTTTTTATACCTATTTTCATTGATCATTTGATAGATTAAAATAGTCTTGCCACCACTTGTTTTGTAGAACTTTTGGAATAGTTTTTAGATGTATAAGTTTTATTTATTAATTCTACACCAATGCCTATATAAGTTGAATTGAAAATAACTTTGGTCAAACATCATGATCAGAAACTGGAACATTATTATGGGACTGAGAGAGTATAATTTAAGGATTAAGGAGTTTACTTTTGCATCAGGGCTGATTGACCAGAGTTACCACCTATCTCGTAAAAATGAAAGATTAATTGATCTGTTTTTTCTTCTCTTTTTTCCCTTATGCGTGTATATGGCTTTATTATACCCAGTATGTAATATTCTTGTTGCCCACCCCATGATCTCATATTGTTTCAACTTTCTGATGGCTTGATGCACATTGCTACAAAATCAGATTGAAAATAAATGAAGGTAACCTAAAATTTTGCAGTGATTCTAAGAATTGATTCATTTAGAGGTGCTTGACATCGAGTCTACTTTAGGCAGAACCTCAAAAGCGAATCATGCTTAAGTTTTATCAGGCTGCTGTTGTGTACTTCTGTAGTGACTTGTGATGTGAGTTTGAAACAAAATAACTAACACTAATGATAATTGGAACCACCTTTAGAATCACACAATTGTGTGTGAGCTTCATATGAAACTTTTCAGTATCAGGACACCTTAACATTGAGTCTTATAATTTCATCGCACACGTTAACATTGAGTCTTATAATTTCTGCAGCCTGAAATAATATAATCTTTCACAAAAAAAGTACCCCCTCCATCCCGATGTACTCATCCTGCTTTTTTGCACGTAAACCAAGAAGAAGGATTAAAATTGGAGAAATAATTGTAATGCTCTTGCTTTTTGCACATATACCAAGGACAAGGCTTGGTTGAGGAGTAACAAGTGTAATATAGTTGGGGCAAAAGGGTAAACTAATCCTTTACTCATTTATAAAGAAAGTCGACAAATACATCGGGACGGCCCAAAAAGGAAAAGTGGACAAACATATCGGGAGAGAGGGAGTATAAATCATAAAAAAATAAAACAAGGTAATTCTTGGACCTGATTTTTTCCCATGGTTCAGCGCATTTTTTTGTCTTTGTCTGTGTTTTTTCCAGCAATCGTGCTGCAGCGTTTCTCCATCTGGTTAAACTGAATAAAGCACTTGCTGATGCAGAGATGACAATCAGCTTGAAGCCTGACTGGGAAAAGGTATAAAGTTCTTCTTGTAGCTGTTTAGTTAAGGCATGTCATTATGCTCACAAACTTTTGCTGTGTGTATAATATAACCACTTGTGACGCAGGGGTATTTTAGGAAAGGATGCATACTAGAGGCTATGAAACGATATGATGAGGTGTGTATCTCTCTCTCTCTCTCTCACTGCAAGAAAATCTCACTGTAAGAAAAACTCTATGGGTATATTGGGATGGAGGATTTTTCCGCTTCTGCAAGGGGATTTTGGAGGGCTTAGTTTTCATTTTGATGAATAGAATGTTTCTAAAAACGAATAGAAGCCATTGATATTTTATACTACCTTCATCCATCAAGTACATAAAAATTGTATTACATATTGGTACATAATTATTTAATTTGATTTATGTTGTAAAATATTTTCAAACAATTATTTTATTTTAATATTATACTGTAATATTTATTTATTGTCTACTTTGACTACAAAAAGTCAAACTGGACAAACACATTGAGACATCGGGAGTAGAATAATTGAAAAAACATACTTTTTAGGAGTTTTTTAATACTTCAATTTTCATATATCAAGAATCAAGATATATACATAAGCTGTGTTTCCATCCATTATCTGCTACCTGCTATCCAAACAAACTTTCAATTTTTTTCCCAATAAAAACCATATATATGTTGCTGATGTTTCTGGTTTACATAATATAGGCAATGGAAGCTTTCCAGATCGCATCAAAGCACAACCCGCAAAGTGTGGAGGTATCAAAGAAAATCAAGTCTCTTAACCAATTAACAAAAGAGAAAAAGCGATCTGAAGAGGTGGAAATCATGAGATCTAATGTTTCAGTGTCAAAACATTTGGATACTTTGAAATCTGAATTGGTAAGTTACTCTGCAGGTATCTGAATTTACAAGCACTTATTTAATTACTTTATCAATTAAGTAATTAATATATCTTTTCATTTTTGAAGTCGGGAAAATGTGGAGATGAGACTACGAATGAAATGTTCTCTTTTCTTGTTGAAACCATGGAGACTGCTATAAAATCGTGGCATGAAACTTCTAAAGTGGAGGCTAGAGTTTATTATCTTCTTGACAGGGAGAGAACAGACACTGAGAAATATGCTCCAGCTGTCAATATTGACAAGGTTTTAGCTTTAAATTCTTGTGACATCTTCTTGTGCCAAGTCAAACTGTTTTTAAGATTGTGTTGGTTTTTTCTTAATTATTACAGGCTTTTGAGTCACCTCATACGCACAGCAGCTGTTGTTCATTCCTCAGACAGTATGCTGAAGATTCTTTCTCGCAAGCAGCATGCTTGGTTACACCCAAAAAAGCTATATCTTATCCACAGGTTGGTTTTTCAAAATCATGATTTCTTTCCATTTGAAAAAAAAATCATGTTCATGGTGTTCAATGACTTGTGTTGTTGGTTTGGTGGGAAATTATTCTCTTAGGCTTCCTTTAGGCACCACCGGATCTGTTAATAATTAGTTGTGTTTACATCGTCTAATCTTAGGTGTGGAAAGGTCAAGGATCAAGGAAATGGAAGCATGGCCAAAGTGATGGGTTCTTCATTCAATTTGAATCACCTTCTGTACGCAAGCTCTGGTTCATCGCCAGTTCAATTGAGAATGGGAAAACCTTGTGCAGGTTTGTTACTCTCTCTGCTACTGTTTAACGCTAAGCTTTAACCCATGTAGATTACTGTCATAATACCATTTCTTTGAGACTTAAGAGTGATCTTTTTAAGACTCAATTTCTGAATGAAATACGGAGTTTCATCTTTGTGGATTTAATGCTTAAATATGTTACCCATCCCTGCAAACTTGTCTTTTGTTTGGGTCCATGAAAAATTATTTGGGCATTTGGGCATGCAGCCATGCACTAAAAAGAATATCTCAATCTTTCTTCAGGGATCCGGTTTCGTTGGACATCAGTGCTCATGAACTTATTCCTCGCCTGTTCAAGTAAACATAATCGATACATCTCATGAGAAGCCTTGTTCTTCTTGAACATCGAAGAAACTGGCAATCCAATGACTCTACATGGATGAGATCCTCTTGATGCTCTACTTTCGTATGGCAAAAGGATCGAAATGGGAAGAGAGCGGTTTCTCAAACCGCTTGGTTGTTTCGACTTTCAACTGTAAGCTCATTTTCGCAAAGGTTTGATCCCTCGTATATTGCAAGCCTTTTGTTCGTCATATAATATATATATCGCGGGTTAGGGGGACACAGTTTGCTGCTTGAATATTTGAAACTGAGAGTGGAAATGAATTTATCACGGCGCCGTTGGCTTATAACTTCTTATCTATTTTCTTTAGGGCATGCTTCGATTGGGGGTTTTGGCGGGAAAGATTTCGAAGGTTTTTTTTGGTTCCGTTTAGGAGCCAGTTTTGGATTAATCTGTTTCAATAAAATAAAATAAAATGTCAAAGACATATTTGAAGTGTAGACTTGGTCTCCAAAACCTTCACATCAAAACAGCCTTGCAGGGTAAGGTTTAGTTTGTTTTAGTACCTTGAGATTTATCATATTTAAATTATTCTAGGGATTTTAAAAAAAACTTTATACTCGTATTTTAGCTATCTAAATCTCTTTTTTTCTTTTTTCTAAAAGAGTAAATTTCATAAGGTAGTGTTTTGGTAGTTAGAACTAATATTTCATTTCAATTTATGCAAAATTTGAGTTCTTGAACTTCAAATGACAGGAAGGTGTATATAAATTTCAAATTAAGCTTTGTTATGAATTAGAGTAATTTAACTCAAATCCAAATCTAATTTTTTTAAGTTTTCCAAACAAGGAATTTGAACTAAATCCAAATTTAAGTTTTCAAAAATACCATAAATGATTTCTGATGATGAGTGATTTTTCATATTGATGATCAATTTTAAGATATTAGATAAATGATTTTCAATTTTTGAAATTGTTCCATAAACGGTATTTAAGACTGTGGAAAAAATATTTTTTCATATTTGCTTAAGAGACTTTAAGGGACAGTTTTAAAACATTCAGAATCATTTATATAATAGTTTAGAATTTGAGATTAAATATAGAAAATCACCTGTTAGTAAGTATCAATTATGAAATTTATTCTTTCTAAAAATTGAAAATTTGGTGTTCTCATGTTCTCAACCATGTTGTCTTCAACTTATTTTTTTATTTATTACTTATATATTCTTATTAGAATTTTATCAGATTAAAAACAACGTTAAATATAATTACAATCAGATCAGAACTTAATCGAATTAGATTAGAACTAATCAGATAAGTTGAAGAGAATAAGAGACCTGTAAGACAACCCGTTGCGAAAATGGGTCCCACCAATTGTTATATGTATATATACAATTATTATATCACTACACATTGTCATATGCCGCTGCTGCAATCTCAGTCGTTGCAGTGGTGGTGGTGGCGACGGTGGCGGCGGCCTTGGGAGGCTTGCAAGTGTGGAGAATGTAATTGCATGTATTTACTGCTTCTGCCACTGTCAAATATATCCACTCTTTCCCTATTGACTCCATTAACATTGACTTTTCAAGCTTCTTCATCATCTCCCCTCCTGGGTTTGCCAATACAAGCTAAACATCCACACACAAACAAACACAAAATCATCATTGAAATGCACAAAAAAAANAGTGAATTCTACACAATGAGACGCTACAATTGAAAATATTTTACATTTAGATTAATTATAAAGAATCATTTATGGAATTTACTTAAAAATAAAACGAGGTTAGTAGTGGTGAGACTAGGGATGTTTTCGTTTTGTACCTTGAGATTTCTCAAATCTAATTCCTTCTTTACTTCATCAAGCATAGAAATCCCACTCGTATCAACGTTTCCAACGGCTGCAATTTTATTCCTCCAACAACGTTAATATACACGAATAACACTTACTTTACCTCCAGAGATGACACCAAGGTTGACACCACTAAAGACAATCGCGTATAGCCTGTCAGAAATCATTGCCCCTCACTTCGAGAGTGTCAACCTTGATGTTATCCGTCATATGACTCAAGTTTAAAAGGAAAAAAAAACTTTCTCACCGCTCAAATCCAAAACGACATATTGTAGCTCAGTTCCACTCATATTGTCAATCTTCTCTTCCTCTTCATCTATCCATCTGAAGATCCTAAAACCCACCAAACCAAAATAATTTATGATGTCTTAACGACAACACTAATCAAGTACGAGGCCTTATTAACCTAATTATAAAACATGCGAGAGTCTTAATTAAGTTTATTAGTTATGTTTTATATGTACAAACCTTTCCCTCAAGTAACCAGCATTGGCAAAGTAAATGGGAGCACCAATGTGAATGATGAGGATTCCAGGCACGGTTGCTGCCTTCGGGTACTGATCCACACTCCTATACGTGCCCGAATTAAGGACGTTACCTAAGATCATAGTCTTAGGCCTTGCTACAAACAGAAGCACTCTTAGCATGGACAATGCCACCTATTAAGAACGTACACGAGTTAATTATTTCTCTCATCGTTAGTTGTTTATATAATAAATATGTTGAAATTTTGGTGGTCATACCGCGACAACGAGGCCGATTTCAATGCTACCGAAGACGACACCGATGTAAGCGCTGATGCAGACGAGGAAGTCAAATTTGTCGAGCTTCCATAGATGGATGGCGGCTTGGTAGTCAATGACACCCAGCATGGCTGAAATTATTATGGAGGAAAGGACGACGAGAGGGGTGTAGTAGAAGAGTGGGGTGAGGAATAGGAGCGTCATCATCACTGTCACCGCCATTACTATGTTCGACACTGCTGTCTTGCATCCTGCGTTGAAGTTCACTGCTGTCCTGGAAAACGGTGCTGGTGCAAAAAACATTCGTTGGCAATTACTTCGTCAAGTTATAGATCGAATAGAACTCCATGTTTTGATTTACGAAAAACGATGTTATTATTTGACAAAATCGATGATAAATTGTTAAATTTACAAGGGCAAATAAGGAAAGAAAGAAACAAAGAAGGGTGAAGAAGCTAGTGTGTTACCAGTGGTCAAGTAGCAAGAAGTGCAAGAGCCAGCAATGTTCATTATCCCAAAGGCTATCATCTCTTTGTTCCCATCAATGTGATAGTTTTTGAACATGGCAAAACTTCTCCCCACTGCTATTCCTTCCTGAATTATACAAATATTGACCCATTCTCATATATAATTATATTATATATGTTGAACATTTATTAATTCTTTTATTAAAATTGTTTTATGTGCACAATTGAAAAAATGTACATTCATCTACTGCTTTACCTTATTCCTCTTGTTTAAATAAATTTTAATCGTCCATTTCAAAGCCGTTGTTATCTACGTACAACACTTGTCAATGCTAAATATTTTACCCAAAGCGGTTTTTGTTATAGAATTATACACCAATTCTTACTTATATTATTTTAAAATAAATTCAGTCAAAAATCAACATAATCCTATTTTGACACAGGAGGGGAGGGGTACCACTTATTGAGTGTCAAGTTGACCAGTTGATGAGTTAGGAGGAGGGACAGTACGGACATTTGGGAAAATATCAATTTTGGAATGAAGGAAAAGACAAAAGAAGGGTGACCATGTTACAGCCTTATGCAGAATCTCAGGGACGACGACCTGTTTCAATTATAAATACCCACTCTTAAAAAATTATTCCCTCCCTCTTTAAAATATTAAATCAAACTGTGGCACTTTTTGACCATGGATTAAATATAATTTAAAATAATTAGATATTATAAAGAATTAACAGTTTAAAATTATATTTTAAAATAAACTTAATTTTACTAAATGCATATTAGAATTAAATATATTTTTTCCATAATTTGTGGTCAAAGAATGCCACATGGAGGCAGATAAATACATTATTTTCATGAATAAATAAATATTTGCATCAAACTTATATAAGTTTTGAATTAAAAATGATGAATATTGTAAAAGAAACGGAGATGCGGAATTTCAGAGCGATAACATTCCAAGATTTTGGAGCTGGACGAAAAGGGTGGAAAATGTTTCCAAATTGTAAATGCATTGATATGGAATAAAAACAAATGAATAAATAATTGAATAGTAGTGTGGTGGGTACTTACAGCTAGGGCAATGACACCGGTGATGACCCCAGCCTTAATGGCGGTGCCGATGTACGGCGAACCAAACGCCAGCTCCGATGCAGATGCCGGATTTATCCCTTTCTTCAACTCCCCTATCTTCATATCATCAATCATTTTTCATTTTTATTTATTGTTATATATATATATGCATATAAATATATATAAGCCACCAAAATAATAGACAGATTATTATTATTATTATTATTATTGTGTAGAAATTAATTAATGAATTAATTACCACTTGGACTCCATGTTTTTCGGCGTGGGTGAAATAGACCAAGACGCTGCCCAAGATGACGGACGTTAACGGCGCCATCGCATTTATCCAGAAGAATGCTGCTTTCTTTTTGCTCTGTTTATCACGGAGTGATACATACGTTGGTGGTCGGTCCGTCGTCACAATCAAACCAATTATTCAAATAATGCTAAATCAATAGAAATCCCTTTTTTTCTCTTTTCAAATGGAGCGTAAAATGTTACACAAGCACTCCGATTCATCTCGAAAAGACGTTTTTTTGTTTCATTTTCCGTGCATCTCATAACATACTTCAACCCAAATCTACAATGTCTAAAACTCACATCATCAATTTCTTCTTATTACGCGTAAAAATTATTTTGGAAGTATTTTAGACATTTGAGGTGTGGTAGAAGTACGTCTTTTATGAGATATGCAAAAAATAAAACAAAATATCTTTTAGGACAAATTTTTCTGGACTATGGAAAGTAGATAGGGTACAAATTGGGGTACCCAAATGGGGATACCCCTAGCATTCCTCTTCCTTTTTTGGAAGGGCATGCAAATAGGAAAAAAATGAGTTAAATTACTTACAAAGTACTTGGTGAGCAATAGGAAGAAGAGAAAACAGCATCCAAGGACTCCACTTTCCCATCTCCACTGTACAATGTTACAATAATTATTAAAACCAGCATTCTATTAGGTGGTTTTCTTTAAATGATATACTCCCCGTCCCAGAAAACATTTCTCTTTTCTTTTTTCATCCCTCCCAAAAAACGCTTCTCGGTTTTATTAAAAAGTCACTTTTACTCATTGCTTTTTTATACCCTACCTATCACATCATACCTTTTTACTAATAATCTACATATCACATCTTACTTTTACTCATCACATCAAAGGACATTTTTGGAAATTCAATACCAAAAATACACTCCCCTTAAATCCCTCTTCAAAATAAAAACTCTCATGTTTTCCGGGACGGAAGGAGTATATATATATTCAATAGTAAAAAAAGATAGAAACGTACTACCTGATGGAATTGGGTGAGAATGGAGCGGAGGACAGAGAAGAAGTCGGTGGCATGGGTGAAATGGACGAGGCCAAGAATGCCCTTGAGCTGCTGCAGGCAAACCACAGTGGCTGCTCCCCCCATGAACCCCAATATTGTTGCGTGTGACAAATAATCCACTATCATTCCCAACCTGCACCCATTTCCCCCCACTCTACCTCCTTATTTCCTTGTACGTCAATTATTCACACACTATTTTGCCTCTTTTTTTTTTTTAATTTAAAAAAAAAAAACTAATCCCTACATCCCATAAAACCTTTTTTTTTTAAAGAAAAAAAAAGGACACCCTTAAAATAAGTCATTTTGGTGTTATTTTCTATTTTTGTCCTTATTTTATACTCCGTAATAGAGTAGGATGCGATGTGTAACATAGACGAGTCATAATTAGAAAATAACATCAAAATTACTCATTTTAAGGCGTGTTTTTTTTCAAATAAGAAGGGTTTTATGGACGGAGGGAGTATCTCAAAAACATGCATACCCAAGAATTTTCTTCACACAACAACATAGAAACAAATCTAGCAAAATCCCACACACAAACAAAAAAGTGAAATTTGCACTAAATGGGACTAAGACATAAGTCATTTCCCAATATGTAGGAATTAAATTTTTTTATTCCCTAAATTGGACTTAATAATGACTAGTGAGAAGAATAATGTCCAAGTGATGCTCTACATTTAGCTGAGTAATGACTAATTGATAACGACCAATGATCCTACATTGGGAAATAAAAACATATGGTCCTGTATTGAGAAAGTCATTATGTTTTAGTCATATTTAGAAAAATTACCCAACAAAAAACTCAAAAACATGCATACCTGAAGATGCCTAAAGAAGCTTGGAAGAGGCCGGCAAAGAAGGTGGCGGTGAGAACCAAGTGAAGGTAGAGATTGGGGTTGAGCTTGGGGTTGACTTCCTTCCCCAACATCGCCGCCAATAGCAGCGACGGCACCGCCACCGTCCCTATCGCCATGTCCCGAGAACTTCCTAACACCGCATACACAAGCGGTGGCACAAAACTCGAGTCTGCATGCATGCATGCATACAATTAAGCTTAGTTATATATTTTTTTTAGTTAATATGGACACATTTTAATCGTCAAATACATCAAATTTGACAACTTGTGTTCCATTTTACAACAATCAAATAAACTTTTGATCTGAAAGGTTTCCACAATATAAATCTCATTAAGTTACTCTGAATATTTGTCTATTTTTTTTCATTTTTTGGTCAAAATTGTTAAATTTTGACCTCAAATTAAATAAAAATAATACTCGTATTAGTGTTTAGTCGGTCTATGGGGATATGATACACCAAACGCACATTGAAATATATACCACGTGCCATCCATACATGCAGTAAAATTATTTAGCACTTCTTTTGTATTATCATTTTGTCTGCCATTTTTATCACTATCTTTACACGACCTCCAACTTCATATTTTAAATATTAATCTAATATCTTTATTTATTTGTCCATATATATTACATGGAGTACGTTAATTCAAAATGAATCTACTAATTTTAACTGTATTTTTCTAAATATTGTTAACATTTATTTACCACAGGACAGAAATTGTGACAAAGTAAATAAGAAAAAACAATCTAACAGTATTAATCGGTCAACGTTTTTCCACGTCAAATTTCTTTTAAAATTTGTTGAACTATTATCCGTAACAAGAAATATACCCCGTAAATGAGACAGTAAATGTTGGACACTTGGAGAAGATAAACATTGGAAAGAAATACATAAATTGATATAGCGTGTTGTTAAATATCACTTCATTATGACTAAATCCACTTCATTTGCGTTAAATGAATGAATTATTTAACCTTAAAAATTGGCTATGGTTTAATGCTTTTTTATGTTTTTAGGTATAAAATTGTCTATTTTCACCATAAATAAAGCGGATTCAGTCAAAATGAGGATGAATATACTAAAAAAAACGTCAATTAAATAATTTAAAAAATGCCCACAAGAATATTTTCTCGTGCGTACTAATTTACTTATATAGCACTAAAACATAATGACTTTCCCTAAATAGCATTACATGTGTTTTTTTCCCAATGTAGCACTTTTAGTCATTATGCATTAGTCATTATTCAAGTAAATATTCACCATTATGGACATTATTAAGTGTTATTTAAGAAATAAAACAATTTAAATGTTATTTAGGGAAATGACTTAAGTTTTAATTTAGTGCTATTTAGTGCAAATATTTCAATTCTTTTGTATCCTTAGATACATGCTTATTTTATGGACCTTCAGATATAAAATGATTTTATGTAATAAATCTTGTAAAAATTAAAAAAAAGGCTTTGAATTCATCAAAAAATAAGTGCCATATTATAAATGGGATTATTTGGTATTTTGGTGCATGACGTGTGGTTGACACACGAGTCAATCAGATTGGACTGTTTTGAAAAGGTTAGAATTAATAACGGATTACATAAAAAGATTTAACTATAAATATAGTAGTCAAATTTCATGAATATGACTTTCTTTAGAAACAAACCATTATAAGCCAATTAAATAACAGTTCGTATATCATTTAATCAACTTGCCATAATTATCCGGTATCATCATTATCATTTATAGATAAAGATCTATATAAGCACACACAGATAAAAATTATATATATATATATATATATATATATATATATATATATATATATATATATATATATATATATATATATATATCTGTAACATACTCCCTCCGTCCCAAAAAGTTTGTTACATTAAGGAAAAAACTGCGTCCTGTAAAGTCCGTTACATTTATATTAAAAAACCACTTTTACCCCTTACTTTTTCATACCCTACCTATCACATCATACCTTTTTTCTAATAATATACTCACCACATCCTACTTTTACCTATCAAGGGTATTTTTGGAAAGTCAATACCAAAATATCTCTCCCTTAATTTTCCAAAAAGTCAAACCGTCACATTCTTTTTGGGACGGAGAGAGTATTTGGTAGGGCACAATCCAAATTACAGTTATCAAAATTAATAATCAATTTCGAATTCTTAAAATTTTAATTTTTTTAACTCTGAGATTTCATTTGTCACACACTCTCAACATTGGAGTATTGGACTTATTTGGACCACTACATGTCAATAGAAAGTTTAATTTAGTGAAAAATATTGGCTTATACTCCCTCCGTCCCATGAAACATGGGACTTTTGCTTTTTAGGAGTGATTTAAGGGGAGTGTATTTTGGTATTGAATTTCCAAAAATGTCCTTTGATGTGATGGGTAAAAGTATGATTTGATGGATAGATTATTAGTAAAAATGTATTATGTGATAGTTAGGGTATGAAAAAGTAAGGGGTAAAAGTGACTTTTTAATAGAAATGAGAAGTGTTTTGTGGGACGGATAAAAAAAGAAAGGAGAAAGATTTTATGGGACGGAGGGAGTATAATTTTCTAGTTACTCTCTTTGTCCTTAAAAGATTATAACATTACGTTAAACGAAACAAATTTTTGAGTTTTTTAGATTCATTATAAAAAATAATTTTACACATTCATAAACCACGTCAAAAGTTCTATCTACAAAATAAGACATGAAAAAAATACGGACTATTTAATTTTATCAAACAATGAGTGAAAACGCGAAAAATAGAGAAAAAAAATATGAATGGAAGGAATAAGAATTGGCTTACATAATCCGATGACGGGAGGGAGATTGGCCAAGCCGGCGTAGCTGATCCCCTGGGGGACGGCGAGGCTGGCAATGGTGATTCCGGCGACGAAGTCCGACCGGAACGACCGGAGACTGTAGCGCGGGGCCCACTCCAGTATGGGCACGAAATACTGCAACCCCATGACCAGCTTTCTGCGGAGCGGCTGTCTCTTCAGCCTCCGGAACGGGTCGTCGGGGAACAGCGTCTCTTTGACGGTGGATTTCACGACTTCGTAGAAGGGTTTCGCCGGCGGGGTCTCCACCTCCACGCGGCGGCGCTGCTCCCATTCGAGATTCTCTCCGGTGCCCATATTGGTTGTGTTTATGGTTTTAATTTGATTTTATTTTTTTTATATGAATTGGCGGAGGAGGAACACAAAAGCTGCTAGATATAGGCGGTGGAGCGAAAGTGGAATGGCCCATTCTTCCTCTTAATCATCATTACAAAATCCTTAAACTTTATCTTCTTCTTCTTTTTTTTTACTACTTTCTAAATTTGTTTTTCATTCAATTTTTACAAATATTGGTATAAAATTTAAGAGTAACTTTTTTTATTTTTTTAAAAAAAAGTTTTAAAAGTTTTGGTTTCTATGTCTCAAAATATTGTTTTTATTTGATTCTATCCCGAAAATTCAACTTTTATGATTCTTTAGCGTCAAAATTGGAAAACAAATTTATACTCTCTCTGTCCGGAAAAAATCTTCCCGTTTCTCCTTTTTCCCCGTCCGGAAAAAATTTTCTCATTTCCATTTTTAATACACTAACTACCAAAAATACCCCCACTTAACATTTTCACATTTTCTCTCCCCTATCCCCTTTCTCTCTCCTCCCATAAATCCTCACCATACACTCCTCTTGAGTCTTATCTTTCTCTCCTTCCTTTTTTCTGCCATCGGTTCCTCTCTTCTTCCTCCTCGTTTTTCTTCTTCTTTTTTTCGTCTCCTTCCCCTCCCTCCCCCCATTCTTCTCCAGATCTCTGCCTCTCTCTTTTTATTTTTCTTCTTCCTCTTCTTTTTTCTTCTTCTTCTTCTCTTCCCGAAATTCTTCTCTTCCCTCTCTTCCAGATCTACGATAGATCTGTACTAGATCTTCTTATCTTCTTCCCTTCTTTTTTCTCTTCCCCTTTTCTATTTCTACTGGAGGAGAGATGGTGGCGGGCTGGCGGCTAGGGATAGTGCGACTGATGGTGAGTGGTTACATCGGGGCTGAGGGGCAATTGTGGTGGGGGCTGGGTCAATTGTGGTAGAGGCGACGGCGACGGTGGTTGGGGCTGGATCAATTTTGGCGGAGCTGACGGTGACAATGGAGCCGGGGTTAATGGCGGTGGTGGGTGCCAGCCCTGGCAGAGATCAGGGGAGGGGAGGGGAGGGCAGGGTTGGGGTTGTAAAACAGGAAAGAAATAAAGGGTATATTGGACATTTCACTTCCAAAGTCAACCATTCAAAAATGAGAAAAAGTCCAAATGGGAAGATTTTTCCCGGACGGAGATTGAAATGATACTTTATCTTTTCTTTTTACCGTGTTATTTTCCATTCGATTTAAATAAATAATTTATATGAATTTAAAACTAGAATTTATTTAGTTTAAAAAAGCTTCATAAAATTATACTCCCTCCGTCCCAATAAGTCGGTCACGTTTTGAAAAATTTGCGTCCCTTACACTATGTTTGGTTCAAGGAATTTTAGAGGGAAAGGAAAGGAAAATGAGAAGGAAAACATTATTTCTTGTTTGGTTAGAGAGGAAAAGAAAACAAAAGTGGAAGGAAAAAAAATGAGAAAGCAAAATGTATTAAGAGGATGAAAAACCAAAGAGAGAAAGACCAAAGTATGACTAAAACATTGAAAATATACCAAAATAGGACTTCCATGTTTTTATTCCCGAAATAGGACTTACATTACCAAACATGGTCATATACATTACCAAAAAAGTATAGTAATGTGCACATGTACACTGCCACATTACCACAGTGCGAGGTCCTATTTCGTGGAAAAAATATTAAAGTCCTATTTTGGTACTTTTCTCTATGTTTTAGTCTTATTTAGGGTGATTTCTAAAAACCCAAATTCCTCCCATTTTGGTGAGGAAACTAATAGAAAACCATTTTCTTTTCTTTTCCTTCCAAATTCCATGAACCAAACATAGTGTTAAAGTCCGTTCCATTTCTATTAAAAAACCACTTTTACCCTTACCTTTTCATACCCTACCTATCACATCATATCTTTTTCTAATAATCTATTCATCACATCCTACTTTTACCCATCACATCAAGTGTATTTTTGGAAAGTCAACACAAAATTATCTCTCCTTATTTTATCACTTTAATCAAAATGTCCCAATATTTTTGGGACGGAGGGAGTATTTGACATGACTATTACTTCATCAAATAAATAAAAAATAACTAAAATGAGAATAAAATTTAAAACCAAACCTTTTTAGATTGAAAAAAAGTTAATAATAAAATTTGAAATTGATACTTTATCTTATTTTAAATAATTGATATAAAATTTGAAAATAAATTTATTTAGTTTAAAAAAGCTTCAGAAATTAATATTACTATATTATTTTATAAAATAAACTCTCAAAAATAATAAAATGAGAATAAGATTTAAAAACAAACCTTTTTACTTAAAAAATGTTTTTAAAGTTACACTTTCTATGTCCCAAAATATTGTTTTTATATGATTCTGACCCAAAAATTCAACTTTTATGATTCTTTAGCGTCAAAATTAAATTGGAGAAAAGAATTGATAATAAAATTCGAAATTGATGCTTTATCTTATTTTAAATAATCGATATAACACTTAGTTCAAAAAAGCTTCATAAATTAATATTTGACATGAATATATTATTTTATCAATCAAATCTAAAAATACTAAAATGAGAATATTAAAAAAAGATGAAGAGAGCATTACTTATTAATAAATTATTAAAGAAATCATCTCAAATATGTGCAAAATATTGTTAGCATATTAGCTGATTAGTTTTCAGTTACGAATTAGTTTTGGATAAGATAAGTTTGCCACGTCACCATAACAAACTTAACTATCCAAAACTAATTCGTAACTGAAAACTAATCAGCTAATATGCTAACAAATATAACTCTTATTTCTAAAATAGGAGTTTCAAGTTTTTATTCCAGATATACGAGTTTTTATGGTGACAATGTGACACTATATTTGTATTTCACAATTTGTTTTTTGATATTATATGTTGACATTATTGGCATTAAAATTTTTATTTAGAAAATAAAAATATAGAATTCTTATGTTTGGTAACTTTTTCACATCTTACATCTATTTTGATAGTTCTAAAAAGATATACAGCTTCCTAATTAAAAACGAGGAGTCCTCTCTATCGGTCAAGATTTTATCGTCTGTTTCCGTTTTTGAACATTAATCTAAAGTACTTATCCGCAAACCATTTTTTGATAAATAAATTAGTGTAAAATACAAAAAAAAACAAATTAATAAAATACATTAGGATTAATCTAACACTATGAAATATTGGGAAGATAAAGATTCAAATAATCAAATTCAAGTAGAGCATTGATTACATTTTAAGTTGAAAAAAATATAAGCACAAACATTTACTTTGCACTACTCAATAGTACTCAAAAAATAATTGAACATACGGGTTCAAAATAACACATTCGTATTTTAGATTTTTCGGTCTTCGATTAAAATTAATCCGAAAAAAACAACTAAACTTCTCTTTTTTTCGACGCCAAAGAAAACTCTTCATAACTCAATCAATTAAGGGCGAACAAAGTTTGAGGAGTCGAGAACCATTCACCATAAAATCAGTGCATTGTGTCTGTCTCGCTACAGCAATTATATTTCACAATTAATAAGACAGGATGATAATTAAGAAAAGTAAAATTATGCGATTCAATTTTGAAAATGGTGCAGAGAAGAGAGGACACAAAATTTTCAAAAGTAAAAGTATGAAACATTATTGGGTTGAAAAGAGTGGAGTATAATTTAATGCGAAAAGGCTAATGGCCCCTTTTTTGCATCTCGTCCTACGTACTTAAGTTCTTAAGACTGGTCCTGATACACATACATACATATAATACTCGAATATCATGAGTATATCTATATTATTTATAGTTTCATTAGTTTAATATTCGAATCAAAACTCATATTTAATTTTGTATTTGATTTATTTACAACTCTATCTGTTAAATCCATTTCTTATTCAATTGATTCACATTATTTCAAAATTTTGTTCTACTTTGTATTAGTCATAAATCGTGCAGTCATAAATACAATGGTAAGAAACAAGACACAAACTTGATATTTATGTACTCTGTATTAAAATTTTACTTTTTAATTACTTTAAACTTGTTTTGGTGAGTGAGGTGCATAAATAAAAAGATTATGTATTTTGTGAAATATATACGTGACTTTTATAATTTTTCTTTTTTATTTTTAAACCCAAAGTATATATAACGACACAAACTTTATAACCCATATTCCTAATGCCAATTGCCCTCTGTCGGTCCTATGAAACATATGAACCATAATCACAACAAATGGCATATATTTTTTAGACCATCCACTAAATTCACGAGGCTGATGATTATGTCTAATGTCTCTATACTACCATCCTTAGCTAATAACTTCTGTTCTAATTGTGGATTAACTCCACACGTCTTATCAAATCTAATTTTCATCCGAGTCCATTCTTCTGTGAATAATATGAGACCCCGTTTGGTACATGAAATTCAAATTATGGAATTGGAATTGTGGACTTCAATTCCAATTCTGGTGTTTGATAGCACAAAAATTACGTGGATTTGGAATTGATAGTACAAAAAGTGAACTGAAATTGACAGAATTCAATTCTATGGAATTGAATCCCATGGAATTTCAATTCCAATTCAATTCCAATTCCACTAATTCCTTGTACCAAAAGGGGCCTGATTTTTTTTAAAACATAGAGTACAACAGCAACAACCCAGTTGAATTCCACTACAGTAAAGTTTAAAAAACTTAGAGTAAAATCATATATTTGTTTCTTCGAAATGATAGAGGTTCAATATGCAAAATGATGATGGGGAAAATCAAAAGTCGACATACCAAACAGTGTAAAACGCTCATCACCAAAAGAAGAAACTAAATTCCTCAAAGTATGGTGCTCCAAACACCCTCTTGATACATTAAGAAATACCTCCTCCGTCCCCCCTCCCCCCAAAAAAAGAAATATTCCTATAGCACAAAATTTAAGAAAAGTAAATGTGGATTTTTTTAATAGAGATAGTGAATAAATGTTTATTTTGATACAAAATATATGTTTGACATTATTTAACATTATAAGTCATGTTTTCGTATAAAAATATTGTAAGCCTTATTTTATTATATAAAGCGCATTTTAGTCTTCGTTAGATATTCCTTCTAAACATTACCAAATTTAACTATCATGCAGTTTCACAAAAGTATATTTTAAAACTAGTATATATGATAAGAATTTGTCTAGATGAGAGAGAAAAATTTTGCGAGTGACATGTTTTTCGGGATACTAAAAAGAAAATAAAATAAGTGAGAAATGTTTTTGTGAGTGCGAAAGAAAAGTGGGATTCCTTTTTATCCAAGTAGTATATATAGAGTATTAATGATTTAAGTCAAATTTATGCATTTTTTCCTCTTGACCTTATTAATTCCGTCTATTAATTCTCAATTTCTAAACTTTTTCGTTTTTAACATTGACAAATCAAGCTTTAATTCGAAAAAATCCAAACCTTAACACATACTACTTCCGTCCCAATTTATAACGCCTGTTTCGGTTTACGATGTTTGACTGAAATTATTTTCAAACCATTTTATATGACAAATGATATAGAATTAAAAAATAAAAATTACATATTAAAAAATTACATCAAAAAATCTACAAAACTAGTAGTGACAATTATATTTTATTTTATCGAATTGCTAACGAAAATAGAGAAAGAAAGTGAATGAAGTTTGACCCTGTGAATAATAAATAGGCATTATAATTTGGAACGGAGGGAGTATATCTAAACTGCAGTGATCTGTTCCAAAACCTCAAACTTACTTATTTAGGCCGTATTATTTATCAAACCGGCCTTAATTCTTTAGCCCATATATCTCTCAGTCCATTTTTTAATAGAGACCCCACGGTCTTATGTCGGCCCAACCTTAGTTGGCTTAGGTTCATGGTCTGGGATGATGACCTTTTACTTCAAAAAATAATTACAAATATTAGTGTACTAAAAATTTAATTTAATTCTCATACTCTAATACCGGTTTCGTTAACATCGGTCTTAAATTGGTATCGGTGCCATCGACTCATTTCCATACTTAGACTCTCCAACCAACTTATTTTTTTGCTTATTACTTATTACTAAAATTAGATCAGATTAGACCAAACCTTCAAAAATCAGGTTTAGATAGGCAAATGGAACACAGTCTTATAGTACTCCATTAAATTCAAGAAGCCATTTGTACCCCTAACACCCTCAGTGATCCGCATAGGACATCAGTGTCAATGGATCTATTTCGTTATACTATAAATTGAATTAACTATAAAAGCTGGGCTAAATCCCAACTCTACGTGTTGAATAAATCTTTCCATATAACATTAAACTAATAATTACATGTTTATAATATCTCCGATCCACGTTTCATAAAAGCCACACCTTTAGAGGATTCAAAGTAGGGGGGGGGGGGGNGAATCAATTATGTGAATGGAACATCAAAAATGCTCCGAATGGGCGAATCTCATCTGTTAATATTGGATGCGAGTGTCAACATAACTTCACCAATTTCTGAGCTTATGTTGAGTACGTAGTATGATATTGTTCTCATTTCACACTTGCACGAAAAATATATTTTTTATTGTGCAAGGAAACTTTCACTATGCGATGCAATACACAGCCACAGACTAGGTATATAATTCAAATAAAATCTTGAAAGTGTAAAACTATACAATTTATATATTTAAAGTACAAAATATGCCCCACTTCCAAACCATACAAAAAAAACAAACATTCAATTTAAAATGACTTATATCATAACATGTATATACTCCTTCGAGTTTATTGGTCAGCTGGCTTATCTTTATCAAGTCAGTACCTATATCCTTGGACCTGAAGAGAAACAAATCAAAATTCAGCAACCAATATTGTTATGAGATTCACATAATGTTGACATAATATACGAAATTATTATTATTATTATTATTATTATTATTATTATTATTATTATTATTATTATTATTATTATTATTATTATTATTATTATTCTCTCCCTAATCTTAATGAAAGAGTTCCCTAGACAGGAATAAAAAACTATAAAAATATTAAAATAGGAGTAATAAATTAATCTTTTAAGACCAAAATTAAAGTTCATATTGTCATTGTATTGTCACACTCATCACATTTTGTCATAGCCAATGATTTTCCCGGACTGGAGGTCAACCCGGTGGGAAGGACGGGTCCCGGGTCATACCAGATTTTTCCGGGTCGACCCAGTTTCTTCCGAGTTATTCTGGGTTTTAGGGGGTTGGACTGGACCGGTTGTGTGTCCATGTTGCGACCGCCTGATCTAGTCTAGGTTTAATAACATTGGTCACAGGCTCACAGCCACATTATCACCATCATACTGTCATATGTCGTTGTCACCCCTTAGAGTGCCGTTGCGGATCAACAAGGATTGACTGATCACACAAATATATTACAATGTCATTATTTCTTCATCGCACTCTCAACACGTACTCCCACAATACACTGATATTATAGTTCTATTTTAACCTTAAAAACCTTAGGAATCCTATTTTAGGATTTTTCATACTTTTTTCTTTTTTACTTCGGGTAGATTTTCTTAATCTTAATTGCAAAGTGAGTCCAAAAATTGATATTGGGAGGAGGAAATAAGGGAATAGTATAAACACACCTCAAAGCCAACCACGTGTCTACTGTACATTGTGTTGGTCGTGAGAACACTGCAGGTGGACCCACACTCGCTATCCTTGACCGAAACGTTTGACCGGTCAAGCTTGATTGACCACGGATAGTTATTCTGTGCGGCGGACCCCACCTGAGACGCCGACCGTTGCATCCTGACCGCGCGCGGCAAGTTCCTCCCCTCGATCGACGGCCTCCGCCTGCTGGGCTGCCGGTCGAACGTGTCCGTGGGCCGCTGTTTCGGGGCGCTATGGGACCGGGCCTTGGCCCGCGAAGACTCGGTGTTGGCCATGTAGCTGGGGTAGAATGGGTATTCGTGGTAGAGTGAGTCGGCGGCGTAGGGGATTGGGGTTGTGGGCTTGGACTGGCAATGTGGGCTGCTCTGCGGGGTGGAATATGAATAGTCCTCGAAGTGCGAGCTAAAGACTCTTGGGCTTTGGTCCGTCATGGCTGATGGGGCCGGGGACATGTGTTGGGCCTCTTGCTTTTTCCTTGACCCGTCTCCCATCAGGTCCATCTCCATTATCCTCATGATCGCTTCATCCACTCTTCTCCCTTCTTCTCTCTCATGATCCTGAAATGAATATTATTGGTCAAAAAATGTTAAATATCTTAACAATTCATTACTCCCTCCGTCCTAAAATTAATTTCTCATTTTGACTTTTGCAGTCAAAGTTTTTAAACTTTGACTGCATATTACGAAAAATATATATTGAATTTTCATATAAATTTAGTATCAATAGATTCATTTTGAAACATAGTTTTGAAATATATTATTTTGATAATATATATTCATATAAAAATGGATATATTAATGGTCAAAGTGCGGTATTGGAGACCGTGAAAAGTCAAATGAGAAATTAATTTTAGGACGGAGGGAGTAATAAATACTCCAATTTTTGTTCCTGACCTATCATATAATTCTATAGTTCTAATCGTACTCAAAAGCTTAGGGCCCAAAGAGAAATGGAGTGCACTGTATTTTATTGATGAATGATGCTCAAATAGGTTTCGTCCGTCATCAGCGCCAAGACATTAGCATTAGCTTGTTGAAAAGGTTATCTCAGGATAGTCTTTCGTATTATATTTTTAGAATTGATTTTCACAATTAAAAAAAATTTTAAAATGATAACGCTAATCGAAAACATTGTTCTTAAATAAGGTCATAATTTTAAGGTCAAAATGTGCCCGATTGATACAAAGTACTATCACATGAATAAAACTCCCAAAGTGTCATCATCAGGAGATGAATTCTAAGATATCGGATTTAACACTCTTTTTTAAACTGAGTGAAGATAAGTTTCAAACTCGTGGCAAAAAGAAGATTTTGATATCATATCAATAAACGACCTAACTCAACATGAAGATTGAGGTAGCTACCTGATAAGAAGGGTGTCGGGATTTGTTGTCGTGAGAGGATTTGCCATGAAGAGATAATAATAACCTCCGGTTGTTGTGGTGGCCGGTTTCTTGATCTCCGGCCATTCTCAGGCGCTGGGCTCGAGCTCTGGCCTGAGCTGTTATGAGCGCCTCCATGCACCTCAGCGTCGCCGCCGCCTGTTTCCTCACCAAATGCCCTCTTATCAGCGCCTGCAACTTCACCAGCCCTTTCAACGCATTCAACGCTTTCCTTGCCTGAAAAGAAATTTGATTTCTTGGATTTCTAATTGTTTTCGAGATCTATCATGAAGGAAAACTCGAAGAAGCCATACCAAGTAACCCCGGAAAACAGACTGAATTGTGATGGCTGCAGCCTCTTCTGCCGGATAAGCCCTGCCGCCGCCGCCGCCGCCAGAGGTCAGTTGGATCACGGCCACTGCCGCCTTAGCTGCGGCGACAACCGTGGCCGCCGCCGCCGCCAATTCCTGCATCTTCTTGCCCGGATCCGGTTCGGGAAACTCTTCCTTCCGATTCGGAGGAAGGGCGGTACGAATGCTTGTCTCTGCTGCAGCGCCGACCAAATCCCTGTGTTGTCTTTCTCCGGCCGCCGGTGGCGGTGCGGTGGCGGAGGACCGCCGGAAGCTCCACCTCTTCTTCTCCCTGGGATGCCCGGCAGAAACCGGTGTCGCCGGAATCTCATCCCCGGCCCTTCCCACTCTCTCCTTGTCCTTCTTCCCAGTCAAGAAATGCTTGATCCATTTCCCTGTTTTCCCCATACCTCTTCTCCTCTTCAAGAATTCTTGACCGATAATGGAGAAATCACCCAGAAAAAGAAATTAAAAACACACCAATCCAATAAAAATGTACTTTGGAAACTGCAGATTCTTGAATGGATGATGGAGAAAGCTGTGAGCTTTCTCTCAAGACAATAATAGTTCTGTCATAATTTGAGACTATTAAATGAAGGAAGAATGGAAACAGATGACATTAATGGCTTCAAGAAGGATTTTTTTTTATTTATACAAACAAGAATTACAGATTCATATAATATTGACTGTTACATTGTCTTGTCTATATGAATGAATTATTTGTGTAATCACAAAACATGGGGAGGGAGGGATGGAGAAAGATTTACAAAGTGATGGGAAAAATCCAAATTTAATTGCCTATCCTTTTAGGCGGTTATAATAGAATATAATTTGTTCTTTTCCCATTGATGGGGTCTCTCTATTTTTTTTTCTTTAATCCTTATTTTGGTCATGTACAACGCCATAGATGTGTTTATGTACGTTTTACTTTCATTCCATAGACTTTAAGATTTTGTTCTTTGATTTTTATGTACTCCATTCGTCCTTTGTTTAACTTCTTCATCTTTCTACTGTTATAATCCTCATAAATGAGTAGCAAGATCATGATGAAGCCACAAGTTCATTTTTTGCCATGTATCAAAGTATGCTGGTTTATAGGCCACAAGTTCAAATCTCAAGAAAATGTTTTATGTATAAAACTCAAACAAAAATATATATCTCGCCCGTATATGGATGAATGTGCTAAAAGTATGAAGCTTTTATAGACTTACAACCAATTTGAGCTTCTAGTTGAGTGGATTCATTGACATTGGTTAGGGCTAGCTAGAGTAAGATGTGTTCTAAATCAACGTTCTCAACCCAATTCAAGTTTTGTTTTATCCCTCGATCAGACTTATTAAATATACTTGTTTTGTCTCTTAAAGTTTTTACTATTTTGACTTTATGGAGAATTAAGGGAATGATATTTTTGTATTGACTTTCCAAAAATATCTTTGATGTGATCACTAAAAGTAAGATATAAGGGATGTATTATTTATAAAAAAGTATGATGTGATAGGTAAGGTAAAAATTAATACAAATAAAAATAAATTTTTAATAAAATTGAGAAAGACTTTATGGAATAAAGAAAAAAAGAAAGGATGAATTTATGTGAGGGAGGCAATATAAGTTTATCTTTTATAAATATTGAATAAATACCTAAACATGGGCCATATGTCTTACCTCGTATGTGCCAATTAGATCTCTATCCATGAGTTTATCATACACGCTCTGTCTAAAAATAAATTTTCTCACTTTGACTTACAGGCAAATTAAGAAAAAATAAAAAAGTGTTGAATTTTCAAATTTTTCCTAGGGACATTGCGAAAAGTGAAATAAAATGTAAGTATGGATAATAATTAATGAGTAAAAGTGAAGGTAGTGATGTGGTTTAAAGAAAAAAACATTTTCCAAAAAAAAAAGAAACGTGAAGACAATTAATGGATGGATAAATAAGGAAAGTGTGAAGATAAATTATGAACAGATCGAGTACTAATATCTATTGTGCTTTTCTAAATGTATATCGTTATCATTAATGGTTTCAAAGCTTACGTCATTGCCCTTCATAGTTCTATTATTCTCACGCCAATATCATTAATGGTTTCAAAGCTTACTGATGAATAGCTCTATTGCTGGTTTTGGAAATTAGCACCATCGCCCCCTCTCTTTTTTTCTGTGTTGTTTTTCTTTTCTCTTATCTTTTTACTTAAATGTTTTTTAAGACCTTTCTTAAAGCTATTTTTGTACTCCGTAATATTGTCATGTTATCCAAAAGAGGTCCTTATCGATTCATTTTTTCATGATACAAAAATCAATAAAATATTTTCTCTTTTGTTTCATGGAAGCTCATTTCACATTTTTTGTTTATTTTCAAGTTTCTTTATTTTTCTTTAACTAATATAATACTCCGTAACATTTTTATCTAATCAAATTTAGAATAAAAGAAAAAAGAATAGAAAAGAAAAAGAAGAGTATGTGAAAAAATACTTTATACAATAAAGAAAAATTAAGTCACGAAGGAAATCTTTTGCGCATCGTCTAGAAGATTATTATAAATATATAATTGACTAAATATTAAAATGACTTTACTCTGTGTTCTTTTGGTGCTAACAAATTCCAAAGAAATAAGAACTTTTTTGATCAAAATGAAAATATTTAATTTGAGATAATGAAGTATATTTTTTATTTCATTTTTTATTTTAAACACTGATGATTTTCATTTTTTAAACACTTTTAAAAATAATAGTTTTGAAAATCAACTTTTCATTATTTCAAACATAAACATTTTTCTTTTCTTCATGAAAAAAGGAAAAAAATAATAAAGAAAAAAGGAGAAGGGGGAGATGGTGCTCATTTCCAAAACTATTGGGGCGGCAGAATTATTCATTTAATATTTGAAGAATATTTTAGTCTAGAGGAACAGTGTCGTAGGAATATTAGAACATATTTTAATCATAAAAAAATATTTTAATTGCTTTTTTTAAATGAGTTTTTAAAAAATAAGTTTTACTCTTTTTTAAAAAAATAAGTTTTTTTTGCAAAAAAAAAATGAGACAACTGTCTCGCCCTCGGAATGGAATGCAAAACTGAATGACGAAGCCACGCATGGCAACTTGGGTTGGGAGCTTAGGTGGCAAGGCATGGCAGGCGTGTTTTTCTCGCTATTGTCATTGCTCTAAAACATGGCGGCATTGGTGCAATGAATTCATTTATGCATCTAAAGACTGTGATTTGATCTCACTGTATTTTTATCTACATCAGATTGAATATTTTAGAATCTTCTTATTTCCAATTTGCACTAATTTATTGTATTCAAATTTATTTTCATTGTACATGAAAAATAGGTGGATGCATAATTGGTTATAAAAAAACACCCCAAGAATTAGTGGTTTAATCCCCATCCAAATTTAAAAGAACACAATGCAAAGAGTGAAAGTGGTGGGAAGCAATTTTCTCTAAATAGTGGATGGTTGGGAGGTGTTGTGGGACCAGTGAAATAAAGGTAGAAATGGGTGCCCTATAGAATCTAGCACATGGTGATGCTCTCTCGGCCTTAATTACCTGCTGTGGTCTGGAGAATCACTCTTTTCACCCCGGGAGTATTCTAGCACAACCATTTGCAATTTGTACAAATTCAAAAATTAGATGAATTCATATATTATATTTAAATAAATATAAGGTAAATTCTATAAATAGTTTTTTATTGTCAGTAATTTTTCATATTTAGTCTTCAATTTAAAGATATTACATAAATGGTCTTAAATTTTAAGAAACTATTTTGTGAATAGTCCTTTAGGACGAATATGGCAAAATATTATTTCCACATATAGTGTCTGAAGGACCAATTATAAAATAATTTTCAAAACTTAAGGATCATTTAAGCGATATATTAGAATTAGGGACTAAATATGACAAACTACGAATAACTATGGACAATTTATGAAATTTACCCAAAAAAATATCAAACAAAACATTTAAATGAGTTCGGCACAATGTCACTGATTCATATCTCCAATGCTTATACACTTTCATTTTTGACATATTTATGAAATATTCCTTTCATATCTTATAGATCTTCTCATTTCCTCTTTTTATTTGTCATTCATAAAGTTTATCATTGGCCTTGTTTGGAAAATAGCCTTTGGCGGTTGGCTGTTTGTGTTGGCTGGTTTGAATGACTGATTGAATTGGCTGTTTTGACTGGCTGATTGTATTAGCTGTTAGCGAAAAATTGTTTGGCAAACATAGCTGTTCACAAATAGCTGTTTATGATGTAAATTACATTTTTGGACATACCTCCTAATGTGTCAATTACGAAATAATATTTTATTCTAATTAGTTAATTTTTTGGATTTTAATAAAAACAAACTCTATATATGAAAATAAATACTGAGCAAACATATTGCGTAGCAATATACCAAAAAAAATCACCGAAAGCACATAGTTAGAGAAAAGAAAAAACCTGCTAGTTTGGCCAAATAAAAAAATAAATAAAAATAAACAAATAAAACAAATAAAAAATAATTATCGAGAGTACATAATAAGAAAAAAAGGAAAAAAGAAATTTGCTAGTTTTACAAAGTTTTTAAAAGTAAAGAAAAATAACATGCAAAACTAATCATACTCTCTATGCAAACCCTTTCTTAATACTCCATACATCAACTAAGTAATAAAAAAAATTCAATAAGGGTATGAAGAAAAGAAAAAAGTGAACTGCTAAATCAAAATGCTACTCATCCCAGCATTTGGATTATTGGCAGTTCGATCCCATCCTCTAGGCAAAACAACTATTTTCCAATCAATTAATTAAGGACCTACATCAACTGTTCTTGGTCAAACTGCTAAAAGCTAGCCGATCCGCCAATATCCAAACACGCCCATTATCTTTTTAACGTTTATCCTCAATTACTTTATTTATTACTCCTTCCGTCTCAATTTATAGTGCATGTTTACTATTTACAGAGTCAAACTTTTTTCACTTTCTTTCTCTATTTTCATTAACAATTTAATAAAATAAAGTATTATTGTCACTACTAGTTTTGTAGATCTTTTGATAGAGTATTTTAATATGTAAATTTTATGTTTTAACACTATACCATTTGTCATATAAAATGATTTGAAAATAATTTCAGTCAAACATCGTAAACCGAAACATGCATTATAAATTGGGACGAAGGGAGTATACTTTAAAAAGAATTCCCTAGACAAGAGTAAAAAAACTATGAAAATACCAAAATAGGACTCTTAAGTCTTTTATGACCAAAATATGAGTACACAATGCCATTATTACACCATCACACTCAGCACACTCTCACATTGTAATTGTCACACTATTACCGTCACACTGTCATCCGTCGCACCTGGCCACTAGAATGCCACCGTGGATCGTCGACAGTTGACCGATCACAATAACATATTACATCGTCATCACTTTTTCATTACACTGCCAGCGTGTACTCTTACTCGATACTGCCATTATATTCTTGTTTTATCTTTAAAAGATTTAGGACTCGTATTTTAGTATTTTTATACTTTTTTATTCCTATTCAGGGAAAATTCCTTATACTTACCCACCAAATTTAATACACTCTACCCATTTTTATTAGGAATATTTTGGTAATTTTTTATTTTTTTTTCAATTTTCTTTTAAAATCATAAAAAGTTAAAATAAGAATATCTTAAGAAACGGAATGAGTATAAAATTAAAAATGAACAAATATATATAAAAAACAACTAAACGTGGATAAATGGACTAATAAATTGGGACAAGTAATTTACCCACAATTGTTGATCCAAAAAAAGCACATGAACTATTCTG